CGGTTTCTCCTGTTCCCTTCTCCTTTGTTCCACGTCTAATTTGCTATAGGCTTCTCTGCTCCCGAGGCAGGAGAATCTTCCCTAAATCTTCCCCCTGCTGAGACCTAGGGAAACAGAACCACTAGAAAGGGGACACATGCTCAGACATGGCTTCCAAGGTGTAGCCTCTGCAAGAGGGGCATCGGAGTTTGCATTTCTCAAACTATAACTCCCAGGGCGCCTGCAACAGAAGCACCAGGATTGCTTGGTGAAATGCAGACTCTCAGGCCCCTGTCCAGACCTACTATCTCAACCTCTCTGGGAGCCAGGCCTGTGACACTGTGCCCAGATTCTTATGAGATGATCAGACGACACTTGTGAACACTAAAGACTGAGATCCGGCTGGGGTGAGTGGATTGCCTGAGCCTGCGGGTTCGAGACCCGCCTGGGCAGCGAGACCTCATCTCTACAATAAATCAAGAAATCAGCCGGGCGTGGTAGCGCATGCCTGTAATTCCGGCTACTCGGAAGGCTGAGGCGGAAGGATCGCCGGAGCCCAGCAGGTCGAGGCTGCGGTGGCCGGGAGCGACCACTGCACTCCAGTCTGGGCGACAGAGTGAGACTCCAACTCAAAAAAAAAAAAAAGACTGAGAGATCCACTGATATACAAAGCCCCCGATAAGTGCTTCATAGTCCTGGTAGCACATTAGAGTCACTTGGGGAAGTTTGATTTAAAATAATCATCATCATATTTAAGCTTCAGTCCAAAGCAGTTAAACCAGAACTTTAGGGAAATGTTTTAGTATATTGCTAGATCCTACCTTATGCTCCAAGTGATTCTAATTTTCTGCAGCCAGGGTTGAGAACCACTAACCCAAGTTTTTGGGCGAGGCCAAGGAACAGCAAAGATCTGCTTCTGAGCTGATGCGGTCACGGATTCTAGTCTGGAGGGTCACTTTCATCAGAAATGCCCCCAGTTCAGAGTTTTGAATCAGCTCTGTGTGTGTATGCATGTGTGTGTATACCTGTCCCCTTCCTCAGACTCGTATGGATTTACGAGGAGCCCTGGTTGGATAAGGCAAAGGGGTCTGGACTGTTCGCTGAACTGTGAAAAGCCCTGGATCCCTGTCTGATGTGATTAGGGGAAAGGGTGAAGCTTTGCTGGGGACAGGAGAGGGGATTCCTGCGACGGACTGTGGTTTCACAAAAAAAGATGAGCCCTGGATAATAGTGACAAACAAATGAAGTTTTAAGGAGCCAGATTATTTTTCACGCAGAAAAGACCAGAGAGTTTCTACAACAGCAATAGGGGGATATCCTGATACAGGCCATCGATCTGCCACAGCCACTAGTTGGAGGATGGAGAGAGGGGAGGAGTGGAGACCCTGGAAGAGAAGGCTCAGCTTAGCGGGCTAGACCTGACCAGAGATTCATGTAGAGCTGTAATTCCAGAGTCCATGAGGAGCAGCTTCAACTTGAACCTGCTAGGAAACCAGCGACTAAGGGGTGAGGGATATGGCTCAGACTTGAACAGGTTGGGGAGCAAAGGTGAACCAGTAAGACAGAGCAGAGGGCCCAATGAGCCCCGCTGACTTCCCAAGTGGCCAAGTGGAATAGTCAGTCATGCCTTAGCGAAAGAATCTGGCTGGAGCAAACTGCTGCTGTGACGCTGTCATTCACACAACATACACCCCAAGATTTCCTTTCCTACAAGGGAAGTCTTTTGTGCCCCATACAATGGGTCCTGCAGGAGTTCAGATACAGCAGGTCATCCAGCTGAAGGGATAGAGAGAAGCCAGGGCAAGGTTTTCAGTGAAGGGTTCTGATTTGGCAGTAGCACAAACCTACCCAAGCAAAAGAAACAGACAGTTCTGGATACATCACAGGTTCGAGGCTAGCCTTAAGGGCACGTTTCACTCCCACACCTCTCTCCAGAAGTCTCAGAGGGAAAAGAGGCTCTGACTGAGTCCCTGCCTGAAGACCCCACCTGCTTATTGGGTAATTCTTCGGGGTTCTCTATTGGAGTAGGTACTACGAGACTGGCAGCATCCGACCTGGAGTGATAGGGGGCTCCAAGCCCAAGGTGGCCACTCCCAAGGTGGTGGAGAAGATTGGGGACTACAAGCGACAGAACCCTACCATGTTTGCCTGGGAGATCCGAGACCGGCTCCTGGCTGAAGGCGTCTGTGACAATGACACTGTGCCCAGTGTCAGCTCCATTAACAGGTGAGAGAGAGACAGCAGCCTCTGTTGTCAGGCTGGGGCCCCTGGACTTTGGGGGAATCACAAAAGAGACCAGAAGAAGGGCCTGGCTTCGGTGGAGCAGAGACTAGAAAGGGGCTTCCTGCTGAAGAATCAAGCAAGGAGCACTCCAAGTATTGGGAAGGTATTGCTTTCCCTGCCTCCTCACTTACCTGTGCTATGGTGTGCCCTCCTGGCCCCCTGCCACAGTGCGCTAGCTGCAGTTTCCTTTCTCAAATACCACATTCTTTTTCATTCAGTAAAATAATCTTCTTGAATCGATCCTTTTCTGAGTCACAAGACCCCTAGCCTAGCCCGCACTCAAGCATTCACCCATTTGTTTAAGTGTAGGACTTCAACTATTTGCTCACTATCTCAAGCAATCATTTGATTACTCATTCATTCATTCGCACATAATTCACTCATTCATTATGTGCTCGGCCCTGGGGACACACAATCCCTGTCCTTGCACAACGGACAGTCTAATGAGAGCACAGACACAAACCAAGTACCCACATAAAAGATTGTAAAAATGCAACTCTAAGTTCAGCTAAGGAGAGGAACCTAAGGGTATGTGGGTTAGCATAGGGTGACTTTGTTTAGGAAGATTGTGAAAGGCTTCCCCTGGGTAAGAAATAATGAGTAAAAGTTAACTAGGCAAAAAGGGAAGCGAAAAGAACTGAGACAGCACATGCAAAGGCCCTGTGGCTAATAGGAACTCACATCAGAAATGGAGAGACAGTCTATAGAGAAGGGGAACATGAGGTAGGCTGAGGTTGGAGATGTAAGCAGAGGCTGCCCTTAAGAGGTCGAGAACTGTGTTACATATTCTTGCTTTTGGCCTATAAGCAATGGGAAGCTCTTGGCAGATTTTGAGCAGGTGGCTAGTGCAAATTTCAGAAGTCCACTCTGGCTGCAACGGGGAGAATCCATTAGAAAGAGTCAAGGGTGGATGGATGTGGGTCAGTGAGTGACACTGGAGGGAGAGAATCGGTGGTGGCATGCACTAGGGTGTTGACAGTGAGATGCAGAGGGGGGTCAATGCTGGTGAGGCTTACAAGGTCAAGCCACAGAACTTGATGATGGGTTTGACAGGGAAGAGAGGGAGGCAAGTGTTAAACCCCAACCCCATCTGTGTTTAGACTTTGAGTGACTGATGGAACTATTCATGAAATGAAGACACTGGAGAGGAACAGGCGTGAGGAGTAAGGTCATGGGTTTGACTGTGGATAGTTGAGTCTGAGAGGCATTTGGGATACCCAAGTGGGGTATCAAAAAGGCAATTGGGGTTGGGTCATGCCAGTAATCCCAGTATTTTAGAGACCAAGGTAAGAGAATTGCTTGAACCTAGGAGTTTGGCACCAACCTGGGCAACATGGTGAGAACATGTCTCTATAAATATAGCAATAATAATTAATTAGCCTAGTGTGGTGGCACGTGTCTGTAGTCCCAGACACTCGGGAGGCTGAGGCAGGAGGCTTGCCGGAGCCCAGGTGGTCGAGACTGCGGTTAAGTTGTGATCATGTCACTGCACTTCAGCCTGGGTGACAGAGTGAGATCCTAACTTGAAAAATAAGAATAGTAATTGTAAAAGGTGATTAGATCTGGGGCAGTTGTGAGTTCCCTTTCCTCCTCTTCTCTGTCATGGCCTTTCTTCTCTTCCTCACAGAATCATCCGGACCAAAGTGCAACAACCATTCAACCTCCCCATGGACAGTTGTGTGACCACCAAGTCCCTGAGCCCAGGACATACACTGAGTGAGTGCTGAAGGATCTGGATGCACACACCCCCTTGCCCATACCTCATATCTACATAGCCACATTCACTCGGAGACATGCAGACATGCCCACACAGATACAGCTATGTATTGTAGTCATTAGCCCATGTGTGAATTGAGCTGTACCATGTGGACAAAGCCTGGCAGCTTCCCAGGGAAGAGTCTTTGAACTACTGAGAGGTAGAAGCACTTCTGACAGCACTGAATTTAAGAACCCTCTACCAGTCGGCTTCCTGGAAGAATGACCTCCAAGTCTCGTCAGGGTTCAGTCCATGGCTTGGCTGGTGGTCTCCCCACAGTGCAGTAGGGGCTATGAGGGGTGTCACTTCCACATCCTGACCCCTCTCCCTCTCTCTCCATTGCAGTCCCCAGCTCAGCTGTAACTCCTCCGGAGTCACCCCAGTCAGACTCCCTGGGCTCCACCTACTCCATCAATGGGCTTCTGGGGATTGCTCAGCCTGGTGGTGACAAGAGGAAAATGGATGACAGTGAGTACTGGGGAAACAGGTGGGGAAGTACAGGAGGGTAGTTTGCGCAGGATCTCATGGAGACAGAAGCCCTTTTTTGCCTCGTAGTCCAGGACTTTGTAGGAGTTCTGCAATGCCCTCCTGTAGTCACATGCCCCATCTTTCAGTGGCCAAGGCTCCGGGGCCCTGGCACCGGCCCTTTCTCTCCCTCCATGACAATTCTGCCCCAAGTCTGTCCGCTACTTTGGCCTGGGAGATGGGTAGATGGGTTCCCTGAAAGCTTTCTCCCTGCCCGGGGGCACCAGGTGACCAGGACAGCTGCCGACTAAGCATCGACTCGCAGAGCAGCAGCAGTGGGCCCCGAAAGCATCTTCGCACGGACGCCTTCAGCCAGCACCACCTTGAGCCACTTGAGTGCCCATTTGAGCGGCAGCACTACCCAGAGGCCTATGCCTCCCCCAGTCACACCAAAGGAGAGCAGGTGAGAAGCTGGGCCCTGGGAGGTGAACAGGGGCAGTAGGGGCTGTAGCAAGGCATGCTTTCCTAAGGAGCCTACAGTCCTGCTACCAGAGCAAGCTAGAAGTCGCTTCCATGGGCTCAGAGCACGGACTTCATGCAGCTCCATGCTTGACATATGTTTTATTTCATGAGATTAGCTGGCATCTTCCTCTCTCCCCGACCATCTTGGCTTCTTTCACCCAAAACCTTTGAGCCTGGGCCCTTCAGGAAGAGCAGCATAGCCTGATGGTGCCACCCCTTGCTTTCAGTGTCTTCCCTGGATGCAGGTCAGGTCCCACCGCTTTTAAGCAGCAGCACGAAGCCTGCACACAATGACCTCAGTTACCACTTCCTAGCCCCACCTCGCATGGCTCGCCCTGCACACCCCATGATCCCACATTACTCATGCCCCCAAGCACGCCACCCTCGTTCACACCTCTCTGCCCTCGCACACCGTGTGCCCTCCTCGCAGAATGCCTTTCCTCCCACGTCTGTGCCTGGAAAAATACCACTGGCCATTATGACTCAGCTCAAACCACCCATTCCACGAATCCCTCCCTGCTCTGCAGACATAAGTCATCTCCCCTGCCTCCCTCTGAGCTTCTCCATGTCCCACATGCTGCTCTTAGTAACTTCTCACGGTGTCTCATAATGATCTAGTGTGGACAGAGGTATAAAGACACTTGAATTTCTTAAATACAGGGAAGCCTCATGAAACATGAGACATTGTTTTTCTCCCCAGCACCTAACATTGTGCCCTTCCTATAACAGATACTCAATAAAAGCATATTAAGTGAATGAACAAATGAATGAGTTGAGAAACGCACAACCATCAATCACAAGGCCCAGGGAATTTTTCTTTGCAGCATTCAGGACAGGTGAAATGAATTACAATGGGTTGGCTTCTATGAAAAGCTGATAGAGGTGTGAAAGATCCGACCCTGAAGCCAACAAAGACTCTACAGCTCTGACAGAACTTTGGAGCTTTCAGTCCACAGTCATCGTGTCTTTCTCCCTCACCCAACCAAGTCCACCAGCTAAGGAGTGTCTTCAGGGTGGTGTCTGCTTGCCCCTTTGTATTCATACTGGGAGGCAAACCCATTCTCCTTTAAGAACTGAGCAGGACAATGGCGATGGCACCAATAATCAGCTGAACCACTGCCAGTGACTGCCTGGGCTTCTGGCCCCTTGCCAGCTCTCGCAGCTGGACAATCTGCGTCAGCGATTTTATCAGCTTTGACTGTGACAACCATGAGGGTGCAGAGAAAACGGGCAGTCAGCAGACCTGGGGAGAGGGCCTGGCTGCTCGTCCTCGAGTCAGCACACAGCTGCAGGAGCAAAAGGGGCTGAAGGGATGGGCCTGCAGGAAGCCGGTTCTGTGAGATTGAGCCTGCAAAACCCAGAGTGCAAGCTCAGCCACTCTGCAAGAGGAAAGAAACCCTGTTGATGAGACCTTGGACACCCACTGGGTCCCAGAGCCATTTCCTGGCTCCATTACTAAGACTCCTCAAAGGACCTTGCTTGACTACAGAAATCCCCTGTGCCATGCTGGCGTACATGCATGGGGGATCCTGGAATGAGAAAGTCTAAGAGGTAGCAGGGACCTCGGTGACCACCTAGTCCAGTTTTTTCTGTTTATGTGGAGATAACCCAGGGTCAGGGAGGATAGGAAGGGCTTGGGGAAGCAGATGTTTTGGGGACTCAGGCCAGTTAGCCCTAGTTTCCTTCAGACTGGTCCACTGTCACCTGTTTCAAATGTAAGTTCTTATTTGAAGACGAGAAGAAGGCTTTGCAAACCATTGAGCTGCTCCAATCATTCGTCTTACAGATGAGGAAACCGAGGTCCGGCAGTGTCCATAAATGTTTTCTCCCCTCCCTCAGTGAATCATTACTCACTCAGTCATTCACGTGGCATGGTGGTGAGGGACAGGGAGAACCAGCCTGTGCCAAGGGCCCCTCATGTCCCAGCCTGGCCTTTCCCACCTTTGGTGACTGACTGTGCTGCCAAAGCAGCACTGCGTGTTCTCTCACTTCAGCACAGGAAGTCTCTCTGGCTTGGGAGAAGCACAAGTACTCATACCTGACCTTAGGACGGGGTGTGAGTATGGGCATCTTTCCGTTAAATCAACAGGGAGGGAAAGGTTCCCTTCAGACTGGTCCACTGTGGCCTCATTCCTGGTTGCTATTTCACTACTGAACATAGTTAGGAGTCATGCCAGGCACTTTAGGAAGCTGCGGTCAATTCTGAAGGCCACCAGGGTCCATGAGCACATAGCTCTAGTTCCTTGGTTTTGCTAGAGTACCAAGGAGCATATTAACAGAATTTGAATTTTATAATGACAGAGACCAAGAATTTGGCAGCCTTGACTTTGCACATAATTCTGAAATAATAATATCTATGATAATCACTGTTGTCACCAAGCATTCCGTGCTAAGCACTTTATATAAGTATACAAAGTTTTATTTAATGATTACGTGAGTCTTGAAAAGTACATTCTATGATTTCTGTCATATAGGTGAGAAAAATCAAGGTTCATACAGGTCAAGTAGCCTAAAGCTACTTGGCAGGTCATTGCAGAACCAGAGCTCAAACTCACTGAAGTTCTGAAGCATTGTGATGCTCTGCCCCCAAGTCAAATTCAATCCCAGTTAAAAAAAAAATGCATGCCTCACACCTGTAATACCAGCACTTTGGGAGGCAGAAGGGAGAGGATGGTCTGAGCCCAGGGGTTTGAAACTAGTCTGGGCAACTTGGCAAGACCTCATCTCTACAATAAATCAAACAGTTAGCCGGGTGTGGTGGCACACACCTATGGTTCTAGCTACTTGGAAAGCTGAGGCAGGAGAATTGCCTGACCCCAGCAGGTTGAGGCTGCAGTAACTGAGAGCATGCCACTGCACTCCAGCCTGGGTGACAGAGTGAGACTCTTGACTCAAAAAAAAAAAAAAAATCCAGTCATCACTGGGATGTTCAAACCATTCCACAAAAAATCACCAAAATGTTTTTTCCATATAGTTTTTTTTCTTTTTTATTAAATTGCCTGCATTTTGGACCATCTATAGGATTCCAAGTAGATATTTTACTATCGAATCAGCACATATATAAGGCATTTTAAACTTTTCTATACTCTCTAGAAATTAGGGATTTTGTTCAATTTCATTAAGCCAGGCTCTAAGCAACTCCACCCTGCCTCTAAGTGGGCCCCCTTGGAAGGCATGGAACCAGAGCACCATTTAGTCAGTAATTGCCACTACACACTAATGGTGCCCTGGTGGTCTCCAGAATTGACTGCGGCTTCCAAAAGTGCCTGGCATGCAACCGGAAAATACTGTAGCTCTTTGGAGAACCCAGTTCAGTGGAAATCACTGCAAACAACTGCCTTTAGTGGAGCTATTATGTAACCAATCTGTGATTTCAGTTTTGCATTTCATGTAGCACATATGTGACTGCATGTGAAGAAAGGGTATGTGCTTTTGTGTGGTGTCTCATCCCCTGGTGGAAGGGAGCCTTGATTAGGGTGGGGTACACTTGCCTTTAGTTAAACAAGTTCTTTTGGGAAGGAGCACCTGAGGTGATAGCTATGTTCCTACCAGGGGAGGCTAGGAGGCGTCTAAAATGAGGTTAGAAGAATACTCTCAGGTCCTTGATAAAGAATGTTCCCAACAAAATCAAGACCAAGTATTATTTTCAAGCTGAACCTATACACTTCTATTTGTTTGGATATGGTGAGAGAGAAGAAGCAATCCACCTGTTCTGGTGAGTAGAACACCTAAGTCAGCATCGGAAGTCCCGGGCTTAGTCCCAGCTTCATTATACTGGGCCATTTATCCTTCTGCAATCCAGGCTACATTCCATATAAAACAGACATACTGCTTGCCCACATCTCAAGGTTGCTGGGGGACTCTATCAGGATCACAGAGGCAAAGCTCTAACGCAAATGTAAGGTGAGGTCATTTTGTCATCCAGATCAGGGCAGTGGCTGAGAGCAGAAACCATCGGAGCCAGACCCCTCGAGTCTGATCCTATCTCTGCCCCATATGGAAGTGTGACAAGTTTCTTAACTCTGTACTTGTCCCCCTTATCTGGAGAGGGAGAAATTAATTAATACAGCAGAGCACTCTGAACAGTACTATTGGAGTACTGCTCTAGCCCTTGGCATCATCCTGTATTCTATGGGCCCAAAGGGAGATAGAAAAGCCATCCAGCCAGGGCATCCAGGGCCATCCAGCCAGGGCATCCCTGAAGGAAGCTCTTCATCCCATGCCTGTGCTCCCATGCCACCAGCCAGCCTTGAATTCCAGGGATGCAGAGGGACCCATGAAACACACTGAGTGGAGTCAGAAATAAACAGGAAGAAGGGGACAATGAGGAAAGGAACTTTGCCTTGGGAGATCTGGATGGCAGGAAAGTCCTAAGATAGACTGCCGGGTCTGCAGAAAGGCTCGCTTGCCAAGGATCTCTCTGTGCACTGACTTCTCTTTGTTCCCCAGGGTCTCTACCCACTGCCCTTGCTCAACAGCACTCTGGATGATGGGAAGGCCACTCTGACCCCTTCCAATACACCCTTGTGGCGCAACCTCTCGACTCACCAGACCTAACCGGTGGTGGCAGGTATGAAGCCTGGAGTCTCCTGGGCCAGGTGGCCCAGGCTATGAGGGTGGGATGCAGGGCAAGGGAAGGCAGAGCTTGGCTGGTTGTCAAGAGGAAGCTGTTGGGGGCCCTGGCCTG